TTGTATATATTTACATTAGTATACTCATAATATTATTGTATATATTTACATTAGTACACTCAAAGTATTGCTGTATATATTTATATTGGTATACTAATATTACACTTTAGTTGTTGCATAATCTCAGCAGAACTGGGATTGTTTTGTCGTTTAGAATTAAAATCTACAATCCTCAGTTTCCACGAAGACAAAAATAAATTGAAACTCTTTCAGACTGCAGTGATTTTCCTCCACTCTGATTAATTTCAGCAGCTTTTTATGCACTTTATTAATGACAAGTGTTAGATTGCAGCAGCCTTGAGGAAGACTAAATCAAACCTTACTAATAACATTTATTTATATATGAGAAATGAAGAATATGTGCAGTTAGACTTCAGTAACAATATGTTTAATATTTAAAAGCATCACATGCAGCTGACAGGCATCCATCAAACACATCTGTTTACACTTCTTTATGTTCTCTGAACGTTTAGTTCCTGCTGTAGTGAAACGTTCCTGAACGTTACTCAGATTAGAGCCAACTTAGTTTTCCACAGACTCTTTAACGTTACTTCTTCCTCGTCAGTAAACAGCTTTATTTCTCTGTGGTGCCAGCGTGTCTGCATGCATTACAAATGATTCTTATTGCCACGCTGTTTTATAGTTTCTGCATGTTTGTCTTTTCTTTTCATGCAAGTGAAAGCTGAAGAAATGAGGCATGTGTTGTAAAAAATGGGCTGAAGGCTGTAAAACTTCCAGCCTACTGCTGATGTGAAGCTTCAACAAAATGAATAAGAAATGCAAACAGTGGTAAATCCTCTAATGTACACAGAGTGATTATGTGGACTTAGTGATGCAGACGGTCTGATCCAGAGCAGGGAGGCTGGCTTTAAACCTTAGTCACCATTTAGACCGTCGTGTCAGTACTTCACCCAAGTAGTGTGGGTTTAAAAAGCCTTTAAAGTTACAGATCCACTGATCTGATAGGTTAATACAGGCTGGCATCTTGAAGCATTTAGCTAATTTTGAAATGAATTTAGAGGCACTGAAGGAGTCCGGATCCATTACCATCTTTTCTAGAGGTTCCACCAGAGATGGTTCTGCTAAATGAAATGCTAACTTGTGGTTCATTCCTCTACATTTACCTCATCAGGGGCGGAGCCAGAGGGGTGGCAAGTGCCACCCCTGGCACCTGATTGGACACCCCCAACTGGTGGGGATCTTAGATTTTGTATTTTGCATTTAGATTTTGTTAAATATTGTTCTCTGGTAATACTGTACTGTATACATTTTCAGCCGTTTGTYTTTAAAAATATCGGAATTATTACTTTGTAAAATTAGTGGTTAGCTTAACTTGGGATTAGCATCAGCATGTGACCATCCTTAGCTACTCCATAATAAATTCAGTCTCAATAAGTCCTAGTCTGTGTCCAGATTCAGAGGCTGCGTCCTTCAAAGGCTGAATGTGTCGGACAAATGTGTCCTTTTTCCTGGATTTGAGGGACAGGTCCGATAGGTCCTTCTCAGTCCACCGTATCCCATGATGCATTCTGCTCATTATTTCTTCAGACATTTCGAAGTACCTGTGGCGTCCATCTTTAATTTTTAAGTTCAGAGTGTGCTTCTTTATTTGTACAGAGTTGTAAAGTAACTAAGTACAAATACTTTGTTACTGTACTTAAGTAGAAATTTTGGGTATCTGTACTTTACTTGAGTAATTATTTTTCAGCGTACTTTTTACTTTTACTCATTACATTTTTACACAATTATCTGTACTTTCTACTCATTACATTTTTTAAAAAGATAAGAAGTAGAAAGTCGTTATTCCTGTTTTATTCTGAGTTATTACTTATAAAAATCCTCTCCTGATAAACTGTGTCTCCTATAGAGTGAATTTAACTGTGTTTGGATGAGAAGTATAAATATATACCATTCTGACACACTATTAGCTTGTACACAACCCATCACAGCTGCACGCTGTTAGAAAATATATTGTTTGGAGAAGTCACCTCCCAATAAATGTCATTTTGTAAAATCTAACTGCTCACTTTTACTCAGTACTTTTACTTTTAATACTTAAGTAGATTTTGTGTCAGAAATTTACTTTTGATACGTAAGTACAAAAACTATCAGATACTTTAAGACTTTTTCTCAAGTAATATTTTTAGAGAAGACTTTAACTTTTACAAAAGTATTTTTATGATAAGATACTTGTACTTTTACTCAAGTATCACTTTGAGGTACTTTATACAACACTGTATTTGTATGAGTCCCCCTAAAAAAACCAATGTGGCCACCTCTCGCCAAAAGTCTTGCTCCACCCCTGTGACTCCTGGGAAGTGAGGAGTTTGTGTTTTCACCTTCTGGTGATCAGGAGCTACCATTCTCCACCCCATAATTCAACACACACACTGCTCACACACACGCACACACACTGATCACACACATACTGCTCCTCTGTCCACCCTGCAGTCTCTTGGTTATCCTTTGTTGTCTGCTGATGATGATGAAAGTCTGTCTGACTCTGGGGAGTGTGTGGGTCTGTGTTAGTTTTGTGTTTGCTCTTTTTTTTTCTCTGAACCACAAAGAAACGCTGGCGGGCAGATGAAGTCAGTCGGTGGGAGAAACGAATAAAAAGTTGCAGGAAAATACAAGAAGATTTCAAGTGGAGATGTCTGAAGCTTTCCTCACAAACAGGAAGTCAGGAAAGGAATAAAACCTCATAAATACAGTTTAATGATGGAGGAGACCTGGGTGTAGCAAGGTGGGAAGTTCTTTCTCTGCAGGTCCATTTTTTATTTGATTGAATCCAAGGTTAGGGCTCAGCAAAATGGTTTTATACCAATAACATCAATCAAGGCATCAAATGCTCTCCGRATAAAACGTGTCCTGAGAAAAGAGCTTGTTCATTTTATTGATGATAGAAAGCAGGAGGTCCCTCTGCACTCAGCTGCTGTTTGTCTCCTTAGTTTAGCTAGTTTAATTAGTTTTAAACATCTGAAAATGGGAATTGTCCCACTTGGATTTCTCTGATTTAATCCAGTCCTGATATATTGTTTGTTATTTATCTCGATGTGTTTTAATCGTCTCAGTTAAACGAGCCCTGACAGTCCAGTGAAAAGATGTCAGATATAAAATCTGTGCTGTGAAACCTTTAAATACCAGATTTGAATTATCTTTGTCTTGTTTTAATACATCCTGTTGGTCCTGCAGGTCTCCAGTCATGGCCGGCGGGCTGTTTGCTGTGGACAGGAAGTGGTTCTGGGAGCTGGGAGGGTACGACACGGGTCTGGAGATCTGGGGAGGAGAACAGTATGAGATCTCCTTCAAGGTAAGAATAAATAAATACATTCCCAAACAGCTGATAAATGACCAAACATCTGACTTTGACTCATCCTAAAAAACATTTCTGCATTTAGAAAGCGTCTGAGGTGTTTTACCATTTACATAAATAGCTTTTTGTAATTATCTGAGCTGACAGCAGCAAATTTTTATATAATAGTTTTCATTCAGCTGTCAGAAAGGAATGGTTGATGAGAAGAAAACTGTGATCATTCCATTAGTTTCCATGTCAGGTTTCACCATTGTTTCCCCCTGAATCAGTCTAATTGGCACCAAGTGTTTATCTTCAGGCGTTTAACTTTTRTTGTTGGACTGACTGAATTTTAATGGATGTCCACAGACATAAACATTGTGAAATTATCTGCAAAGCCAAACTTTACAGCTCTGCTGTGGAGCCGTTYTGGTTGGACGCCAAATTAAAAAGGAGAGTTCGATGAGTTGAAGGAGCCTTTATGTTTGATTTGTTGCGAGACGGCCGTTAAAGATGCCAAAACCACAAATCTCAAGGAAAAGATGCATTTAAAAAGTCTCATTTCTCTTGTCATTGATTTTTCTTTTTTTCACCTCGAACGCTCCAAAATTATAAACGAACATGAACAGATCGTTCTCAAAAGGCATTTATTCTGTCGTCTATCATTTTTATTGTTCGGAGGATTTGTGGAYATAATATAGGTTCAAACTTTCCAAAAGAGCTTCTGGTTTTTGTTAAACAAAGCCTCAGAGGGGTTATTAAGAGTCCCTATATTATTACTTTTTATTTAATTAATTTTAAAGAAAACATTTCTATATTGAAGAACCTGTATGTAATACATTTTACCTTTCTCACATAACTGGCAGATTTTATTTTGAACTTRTCTCAGAGCAAAACAGGAAGTGCCATCATCTCTTTAAGAAAAGGAACTTCCTGTTTTTTAATAAAACACTGTTTAAACTCTGACTCTTCTTCTATCTCATAATAATCTGAATAAACATCAGATTCTTCTCTACACTCTGCCAGTCATCGTAGCAACGCTCTGTTTTCATGCAGACGGTCCCCTATGACATCACTTCCTGTTACTGAACATGTGAATATYTCAACAACTGTTCGTCTCAGCAAAGTGAAACATTATATGCAATGTTTTATCGGTAGTATCTTTTCAAAAATGCATTTATATGTATGGCAGAAATTTAATGTCACAGACACTTTAAAAGTTTTCTTCTTTGTTTTCTTTATGCTTCTTAAACAGTTTAAACATCAAGATGTTTTGTCGTCTTTTATTTGTTTTATAAAACAAAGTGGATTTAGTGGTTTTGTTGCCGTATTTCCAGTGTTTAACATATGTTCAGACATGTTTTATATATTAACCTTTAACCATCACCATCWTCTCCATGAACTGATGATTTTGGAGCTTTAAATAGTTGCAGATCAGTTTGCAGCGCTCCATTACAGCTTCATCTCCTGAACTGTTCAATCTGTTGCATCTCAGAGTTTCACATGGATCCTTCTCAGAGGTTCAGATTAGATTAGGTTTGATTCCAGGGTTTGAGCTGGAGTTGTGTAGCTGCAGAGTCTCTGGCTCTGTCAGTGAGCTCCGGACAGACACAACGGCCCGTCACAGTAATTCAATTCTGGCTTGAATGAGTAAGGACTTTTGTCGTCTCACTCAATTAAGCACAAAGGCCTCTGCTGAGTAGCTGGATTTGATTGGACGTATGCTGCAGTGCGACGCTGCTGTGATTGTTCTTTAAAGTGCTTTCCTCTGCACACAGCCTTTATTTTGCAGAAAAAAATTAACCATGAATCGAATTTACTGTCAAAACTCTTTAACTTKCTGCTGCTTCTTCAGACTGGTGCACGCTCCTTTTCTCTTTGGGCCTAAKTGGAAGTGAATAACTGAGTCTACAGTCATGACCAGCATAAAGCCGTGTTTAAAGACGTTCACTTTAAAGATTATACAGTTGAATTAATTAAAAACAATAAGACACAACAATCTGTGGACAAAAGGAAACTCCTTCAMCTGTCTGTTGGAACGACTTCAGTTGTTGATGATGCTGTCGGTTCAAAGTGATGAAATTCTGCTTTCTGTCAGGATTAAACCTAAACTTGGAAAATATTCTTCTCTAGACGCCTCCATACCAGCTGCAGATAAAAGCTGTCCCCTTGTGTGTCCCTGCAGGTGTGGATGTGTGGAGGACGGATGGAGGACATCCCCTGCTCCAGGGTGGGACACATCTACAGGAAGTACGTCCCCTACAAAGTTCCAGGGGGCGTCAGTCTGGCCCGGGTGAGTGTTTCATCGTTTACAGGGTGAAAATCTGCACAAATATTTGACTTGATGTGACAGTTTTTAGTTTGGCTTTCTGTCCTGGAAGTCTTTGTGAAGCAAACATCTGATGATTGTGTAGAAATATCTTTAGGATAAAACAAACTGAGCTGCTTTCAGAAACATCAAAGCATCAAATATGTGGACCCCTGCACACTGAGCCCCCTGTTTCTCTAAAATCATTTCTGTAACTTCCTGTTGACCAGGGATCACCTGACGGGAGCTTTAAACCTCCGGGTCGACTGACGTGTTCARTCTGTTCCTCCGGCCTGAAGCTGACTTTGTTTCTGCTGCCTGAGGAACAAATCTGTTGTCTTTAGTTTGTCACCCTCTGATCAAACAGGAAGCAGATTTAATATCACACTTCCTGTTTCAAAATAAAGCTCAGCTGTCAGTTTATCTTTAACCCGTTAAATCCCAGTAATGCTCCTTCTTTAAGGCTCCAGCATGCTGCTGCCGAACTGCCGAAATCGTGCAGAACTGTCGCAGTTTTATGAAGAAAATTATGTCACTTCTGTTCKCATTGCCGACATTTCGGCATTTCTCTTCGCAACCCGTAGGTCGACCTTTTCACCCCCCTCCACATAAGGACACATACAAACTGTATGGTGTGATTGGTCAGAAGTTTGTGGGAGTGTTTGTGCTGAAATGCTGCGTTTGCTTCAACCACTCGCTTCAAAAAAAGAAAAAAAAAGAAAAAAGCGATCCTTCCAGAGCCGACTGTTGTACCAGGAAGCAGCGATTTTTAAAGATATTCAAATGGCCAAAAACTCATAAAAGGGATATAACAGACATGTTTCACGGTGGAATCTGACTGATAAACTTTGGAGCTTAATCTGGGACCAGTTTGTGGATAAACAACGTCGAGTGAAGAGCCGCGGACTTTTTTTCCCTCATTGCACTCCCCGGGGAAGGAATCCCATGCAGTGAGGAATGCTGCAGCGGGAGGGGTTTTCCCAGGAGCTCGGCTCGGGGTGTCTCAGGAACTATGAACGCTCTGTGCAAAAATGAACGCAGAACAACCACCTGACGGCGCGTCGACCGGTCAGCTGCCGAGCGACCATACTGCCTGCTTTACTGTTTACTCACTCTGCTCTGTCAGAAAGATCAGACRTTAATGTATTTCTCCTGCAACTAAAGAATTTCATCACCTGAGCAAACTAAAGTTTGTCTTTGTGTTGTATCTTTTTTAGCTCAATCATTTCATTCAGAAGAAAAATAAATAATGTAATGTGCACAGGAAGTGCAGTCAGCAGGTGCAGGAAGGAAGAATATAGATCCTCCCACCTCTACAGACCATCTGGACTCTGAACCTGAGGATGTGAGAACTGTGAATCCAGTCAGCCTGCAGGGGGACCAGGAGGACCAGGAGGATCAGGAGGATCCAATCCGTGCCTCAGACTCACCTGAGCAGCGCTGCGATGGGATGCGCTCGGGTTTGGCTGCAGGCGATCAGCGATGCCGGGGGGACGTGTGTGTGGCTGGAAGCTTTCCCCTCTACATCTGTTCCTCCCGGGGGCAGCAGGAGATGGGTTTCTTTTTCCTCTGCTGAGCCGGGATTCCTGTTCCTTTCATCATCCCAGCCTGGCAGCTGGAACATGTGTTCTCCCAGGGCTGCAGACTGACTTCAGACAGCAGCAGGCTGTGTTTCCTGTTCAGAGGCTGAACTCCTGACTGAACACAGACCAYCTTCACCTGGTTAATAAACACCTGCTGCACTGATTTCAGCTGCTTTTAACTCACTTAGACCAACAAACCTTCTGATCCCAGCTCGAGCCTTATGAATGACAAACTGACTCACTGTAAAAAGTCAAACTGGTGTCTAACAGGATGAAGTCTCAGTAAAACCTGCTGACGTCATGCATCATGTTGACTTTCAGAACCTGAAGCGGGTGGCAGAAGTCTGGATGGACGAGTACGCCGAGTACATCTACCAACGCCGGCCCGAGTACCGCCACCTGTCTGCAGGAGACACCATGACWCAGAAGGAGCTGCGCAGCCGGCTGGGCTGCAGGAGCTTCAGGTGGTTCATGCAGGAGGTGGCCTGGGATCTGCCCAAACACTACCCACCGGTGGAGCCCCCCGCTGCCGCCTGGGGGGAGGTAGGCCTCCTCAGGGTGATCACATGTAGCAGGAGGAGGGTTTTCTGTTTGTTTCACCTGCTCTGTAAATGTTTGTGTCTCAGATCAGGAAYGTGGGCAACGGTTTGTGCATGGAGAGCAAACACTTTGTGTCGGGGAGTCCCATCCRCCTGGAGAACTGTGTGAAGAACCGAGGGGATGTGGGCTGGGGGCACGGACAGGTGAGCAGCTCACACCTGGCCTCTTCAGGCTGAGATCAGAACCAGCAGCTTAATGAATGAAAAAGAAAAATCACTAGGTCCTCTGGATGGTTCGTCTTTAGTGAAACGTTTCGTCTCTCATCCAAGAGACTTCTTCAGTCTGATGAGTTTCAGGTGAACTCAGCCTTATAAGCTCCGCCTCCACCTGGACAAACAGGTTAGTCACATGCAAAAGAGGACCAATGACTAACAATAGGCTTGATTAGTTCTATTGTTCATAGAGGGTCATGTGTCCCATCACCTGACCCGTGTCATGTCATGTGTATGTGGTGAATGTAAGCGGGGCTCGACGTCCCCTTGTTTTAGTTTTTTTTTCCCTCTTTGTGTTGGTATCATTGGGGCCCTGATTCACACCTTTTGCTCACAGGGGGCAGAGTCATACCTGCAATAACAGCGTTGTAGGAGGAGGACAACTGGACACGAAGGCCTCCACCTCTGTTTAATGGTGGACAGTTTTTCTTCACAAAGATGGAAGAACTTTACTCCTCTCTCAAACCAACGTTCCTCTCTATCAAGGATGAGAACATCTTCATCCCTGAAAGAGTGACAACGCTGTCATTGCATGTATGACTCCGCCCCCTGTGAACAAAGGATGTGAATCAGGGTCCCAACGATACCAAACACAAAGAGGAACAAAAACAAGGGGACGTCGAGCCCCACTTGCATTCACTACATTCACATAACACGACACGGGTCAGATG